TTTTTTTTTTTTTTTTTTTTTTTTTTAGAGATGGGGTTTCTCCATTTGGTCAGGCTGGTTTTCAAACTCCCAACCTCAGGTGATCCATCCGCCTCAGCCTCCCAAAGTGCTGGGATTACAGGTGTGAGCCACCACGTCTGGCCTATATTATGTTTTCAAATACATGTATACAATATATACACAGTGTATATCTTACATTTTGACTCATCAATTTCACTTCTAAGAATTTATCCTACAGTTATACTTGCATATGTCTACACTTGATCTTAGCCAAAAGGCTGAGAAGCGATTGCATATGTCTAAAATGACATTATACAAGGATATTTATATAGTGGAGCATTGCTTGTTACAGGAAAAAACTAGAGATAACCTCAATGACCACCAGTAAGGAATAAATAAAACATAGTATATTCTAATAATGCTATACCATTCAGACATTAAGAATTAGAAAACCCTATGTATTGATAGGAAACAATCTCTAAGATTTATTGAATAAAAAACAGTAACTTGTTCAAAGGTAAGGAAGTTGAAAATAAAACAAACAAATGAAAAAACCACAGTAACTTGGAGAAAGGATGTAAATTGTGCTACCATTTACACATAACACATTCACTTGAATAGTCAAAGAATAAATCTTGGTAGGAACATAAATAACTAGTTATCTTGGGTGTCTCTAGAGAGAAAAATGAATGTAGAAAGAGAATAGGAGGAAGACTTTAAGTAACCTTTTGAATTTTGACTTGTCCAAATGTATTATGTATTTAATAAATAATTAAAATGCAAAAGGTATTCATAAATAATTCAAATGGAAGTAAGTATATTAGAAAAAAATGAATATCCACCTTAAACATTTTTTGTTTTTGAGATGGAGTGTCTCTCTGTCACTGAGGTGCTGAAGTGCAATGGCACAATCACAGCTCATTGCAGCTTCCACCTCTTGGGCTCAAGTGATCCGCCCACCTCAGCCTGCTGAGTTGGGACTACCGGCATGCACTACCATGCCTCACTAATTTTATTTTATTTTATTTTATTTGCAGAGACGGGGTCAAAAGGCCAGACTGGTCCTGAACTCCTGGATTCAATGATCCTCTCGCCTTAGCCTCCCAAAATGTTGGGATTACAGGGGTGAGCCACCATGCCCATCTGGAGCAACTTTTATATACATTAAAAAACTTAAGAGCAACAAAATTAAGCCAGAGCTGCAAAATTCTACACCAACTGGCTAACACACAAAATACAATGTAAACATTCCCCAGGGGTTGGGTCCTAGATAGGAAGCTACTTACAATGGAAGATTTTAGGCACCCTGAAAAGAGTCCTCTGAATATCTTCTCATCTCTTTGCAGATGCTGCAATTTCACAGCATCTCCTTCCTTTGCGCCTGTAAAACAGTGGCAACAGTGACTCTTGTCCTGCCTGCCCATCAGCTTTGTAAACTGCAGGAGCTTGGAAATTATAAGGCACCATATGAAAAGGAGAGATTATTACTAAGAGACGGGGTTTTGCTGTGTTGCCCAGGCTAAAATGCAATGGCACTATCCTGTCTCACTGCAACCTCCGCCTTCTGGGTTCAAGTGATTTTCGTGCCACAGCCTCCTGACCAGCTCGGATTACAGGCACCTGCCACCACACCCGGTTAATTTTGTATTTTTAGTAGAGACGGGGTTTCAACATGTTGGCCAGATTGGTCTCGAACTCCTGACCTCAAGTGATCCACCCACCTCGGCCTCCCAAACTGTTGGCATTACAGGCGTGAGACACTGTGCCCGGCCAGTAGAGATTATTACTAATAGACAGTGAAACTCGCTATGTTGCCCAGGCTGGTCTCGAACTCCTGGACTCAAGCTATCCTGCTGCCTCAGCCTATCCACTCGCTATGCTCACAAGCGTGGGTCCCCCCGCGGCTGACTGTAAAGAGGTATCATTAAGTATGAGACTCCCCCCTGGCCGGGGAAGCCCTGCGCAAGCAACGACCCTCTCTTCAAAAGGACGCCTCGCCTTCGCCCAACCACAGCCTTCCAGCCTTCTGATACGTTTGGGAGACCGAGCCTGCAAAGAGAGCCGCACCCCCATTGGCCAACCGGCGAGTCCCGCGCGGCTCCTCCTGGGAGTTGTAGTCCCGTGAGCCGCTGGTCCCTGCGACTCGCGGGTGTGACGTTGAAGATGTCGGCCCTCTGAGCTGACTGCGGTGGTAAAGAGGTGGGTGTGTTTGGAAAGTGGGTAGTAAGAGAGCGAGGATGCGGGTGAAAAAACTAACGGCCACAAATTTCTTTCTTTCTTTTTTTTTTTTTTTTTTGAGACGGAGTTTCGCTCTTGTTACCCAGGCTGGAGTGCAATGGCGCGATCTCGGCTCACCGCAACCTCCGCCTCCTGGGTTCAGGCAGTTCTCCTGCCTCAGCCTCCTGAGTAGCTGGGATTACAGGCACGTGCCACCATGCCCAGCTAATTTTTTGTATTTTTAGTAGAGACGGGGTTTCACCATGTTGACCAAGATGGTCTCGATCTCTTGACCTCGTGATCCACCCGCCTCTGCCTCCCAACGTGCTGGGATTACAGGCTTGAGCCACCGTGCCCGGCCCACAAATTTCAACATAAGCAAGGTTTGCGGGCTCTCAGCAAGGTATAGAGCTACTTCGAATAGGGGCGCAGAGCGTTGCAGGTAAGGGAAGGCGCAAGCTCCCCGGCCAATCAGACACGAGCAACCATCATCCAACCCCGGAGGCCCCGCCCCTCCCCCGCCCAATCGAAAGGGGAGGAGCTCGGCCTCTTTGAATGGCTTTGGGGTGGTGCAGGGGAGAGGGTGACTCCGTTTGCCTTCCCGTTATGGTGATGCCGTGCCAGCGGCTTCGGGGGTCCTGGGGACGGCCGAGTCACTGGGGGTGGGCTGGGACTCGGAACCTGCGTCCCATCTCCCTGCTCATTGGCCCGTCCCCCGCTGCGAGGGGTGGTCCTCCGGGATTCCTAGAGAGGACGCGGAAGTGCTGGAGGGGGGTGGTTAACCCCGTTGCACTGGGGAAGATTGGACTTGCTTACTTCCGGCGAGGAAGTCTTGGGAAGTGTCGGCTTCGGTTTCTCTCCGTAGGAAGAACCGCGTCTTTCCAGCCTCAGCTGCGGGAAGCTTGATGTTCCAGGAGAGCTCCCCGAGAGTGGGGCCTTGAGGGGAGGTGGCAGGGGCTTTGTGTCTGGACAGGGGTCCTGTCCCTAACCTTGACGAGGCCACAGTTTCTGTATCTGGTCAGGGGCCATTCTCAGGAATCCAGGTCCAGATCTGTACCTTGTAGACGCTGCTTCTCTTGGGACCGATGGAGTCTTCCGTTGGCCTGTCAAGCTCTTGCAGCTTAGAGGACAGGCCCCGTTTTGACCAGTATTATGATTTTCACCCCTATTCCAACTTGTTTGTCTTATGGTAGAGAGAAGGAGCGGCTGCGTCTGGACTAGTTAGTCTTGTCCCATTATTTATATGAAATGTAAAGTTCTTCACTCTAAAACTGTTTTAGGTTGGGCCTGATGTTAGATTTGTATGGCTCTGTTTTACATTTTTAAAATGTTGGGGGATCGCTTCTCGGCCTTTTGGCTAAGATCAAGTGTAAAATGTTAGGGGATATTCCCTATTACTCATCATTTTGTGGATGAAGTGATGGCTACCTTGTAGTCCCTATTTTTAAGTAAGGTACTTTGTTGAGTGGTCTTTAGTATAGATGACCTCTTTGCTATCTGTCTTTGCTAATAATAATTCCCAATACATCAGTAGGTTGTATGCTACTGAGAGTGTCCTTCAGAAGATCTTAAAGAGCAGAAAACCAATTGGTTCAGTGTAACACAGCCAGCCTCTAGAGACTTCTCTCTGAGTTGGAATGATAATGACCGAATCCCGGGAAGTTATAGACTTAGATCCCCCAGCTGAGACTTCCCAGGAGCAGGAAGACCTTCTCATAGTGAAGGTGGAAGAAGAAGACTGCACCTGGATGCAGGAGTACAATCCGCCAACGTTTGAGACTTTTTACCATCGCTTCCGGCACTTCCAGTACCATGAGGCTTCAGGACCCCGGGAGGCTCTCAGCCAACTCCGGGTTCTCTGCTGTGAGTGGCTGAGGCCCGAGCTACACACTAAGGAGCAGATCCTGGAGCTGCTGGTGCTGGAGCAGTTCCTGACTATCCTGCCTGAAGAGTTCCAGCCCTGGGTGAGAGAACATCACCCTGAAAGCGGAGAAGAGGCAGTAGCCGTGGTAGAAAATATACAGCGAGAACTTGAGGAACGCAGACAGCAGGTGAGTCAAAGAGAAGCTATATGAGCAATGAAGGAGAGGAGTGAAGGATCTGCTGAGCAGGGGTGAGATTCTTAGCCCTCTGGTGCTTCATTCATATTCTTTTGTTCTCCTGGGATTAGGTACCCTGTGACTTCCTGCCACTCCAGCAAAGAGAAGCAATATCCAGTGTGTTAACCTGTAGAAGACAATCTGCGATTTTATTTATTTTTTAAATTACTGTATTTATGTTTTGAGTGACATAATACAAAATTCAAAGAGGTACATAAGGTTGTAATGAAAAGTAAGTTTTCTTCCCATCCCCAACTTCTCAACTACCTAGTTCTCATCTGTGTTTTCTTACAGAGCTATACCATATTCTGTATGTATAAGCATATATATGTCTCATACTTTGGAAAAACACAAATGTCTTTTAAGTCACTGTGGACTTCTGCCTCTTTTTTTCTTATATCTTGGTTTCTTCCATGCCACTGCCACTACAGCTGTCCCACTCTTTGAAACTGCATTGTATGTTTACTTCTATGGAAGAGTTCGAGTTGTTCCATTTAAATTGCTCCTTGAGATTGTTTCTAAATTTGTGTTATTTTATTTTTGAGACGTAGTTTTATTCTGTCACTAGGCTGGAGTGCAGTGGTGTGATCTTGTTTCACTGCAGTCTCCACCTCCCAGGTTCAAGTGGCTCCCCTGCCTCAGCCTCTCAAGCAGCTGGGACTATAGGCACGCACCACCACACCCGGCCAATTTTTTGTATTTTAGTAGAGACGGATTTTACTGTGTTGGCCAGGATGGTCTCTATCTCCTCACCTCGTGATCTGCCCGCCTCAGCCTCCCAAAGTGTTGGGTCTACAGGTGTGAGCCACCGCGCCTGGCCTCTAAATTTGTATTATAACAATTCTTTGCTTCAGTGAATATCTCATATGTGTGTGTATATGTATGTATGTATACAATATACATATGTATGTGTGTATATAGATATATGGGCTGGGCATGGTGGCTAACCCTTGTAACCCCAGCACTTTGGGAAGCTGAGGTGGGAGGATCACTTAAGACCAGGAGTTCTTTCAAGGTGAAATTTGGGTGGAAAACAACAACAACAACAAAAAAAAAACAAAATCAGGAGTTCCACAAGCTTGGGCAACATAGCGAGATATCATCTCTACTGGAAAAAACAAACAAAAAATTAGCTGGGTATGGTGGCATGCACTTATACTTCCAGCTACTCAAAAGGCTGAGGCAGGAGGATTCCTTTACCCTGGGAGTTTGAGGCTGCAGTGAGCTGTGATTTTGCCACTGCATTCCAGCTTGTGTGACAGAGGGACCCCCTGTTTCAAAAAAAAGTGAAAATTAAAAACAAAAATTAAATTGAAAAAAATATAAGTATATAAAATTAATTGTAGAAGGAATGCTTGAAATTCAAAATTGTTAACTTAGAGTACATTTATAATTTTGATAGCTATTGACAGGTTGGTTCCCTTATAGAGATTAAAATAATTTAGAGTACCATCACCAATATATGAGAGAAATTTTTTGGCCATAGCCGGATAGCACAATATTATCATGATTTGTGATGATTGCCAGGACATAAGATGCAATAGTTTAAGCCAGGTGCAGTGTCTGATGCCTGTAATCCGATTACTTTGGGAGGCTGAGACCATCCTGGCTAACATGGTGAAACCCCATCTCTACTAAAAATACAAAAAATTAGCAGAGCATGGTGGCACGTGCCTGTATTCCCAGCTACTCAGGAGGCTGAGGCAGCAGAATCGTTTGAGTTTGGGACACGGAGGTTGCTGTTAGCTGAGATCACGCCACTTCTCTGCAGTCTGGATGACAGAGAGAGACTACATCTCAAACAAACAAACAAACAAACAAAAAAAGACGCAATATTTTATTCCTGTGAAATTTCTTTCTTTCTTTCTTTTTTTTTTGAGACAAGGTCTTACTCTGTTGCCCAGACTGTAGTGCAATGACACGATCTCGGTTCACTACACCCTCCACCTTCCAGGCTGAAATGATTCTCCTGCCTCAGCTTCCCGGGTAGCTGCAATTACAGGCATGTGCCACTACGGCCCAGCTAACTTTTGTATTTTTAGTAAAGATGGGGTTTCACCATGTTGGCCAGGGTGATCTTGAACTCCTGATCTCAGGTGATCCTCTCGCCTCAGCCTCCCAGAGTGCTGGGATTACTGGTGTGAGCAACCGTGCCCGGTCATTTCTGTGAAATTTCAATTGGAATTTCTTTTGACCACAGCATATATTTTTAAGGGTTATTTGTGTACCCTATTTTGGTGAATTATCTGTTTATGTTCCTTATCAATATATTTTTTTTTTTTGAGACGGAGTTTCACTCTTGTTACCCAGGCTGGAGTGCAATGGCGCGATCTCGGCTCACCGCAACCTTCGCGTCCTGGGTTCAGGCAATTCTCCTGCCTCAGCCTCCTGAGTAGGTGGGATTACAGGCATGCGCCACCATGCCCAGCTGATTTTTTGTACTTTTAGTAGAGACGGGGTTTCACCATGTTGACCAGGATGGTCTCGATCTCTTGACCTTGTGATCCACCCGCCTCGGCCTCCCAAAGTACTGGGATTACAGGCGTGAGCCACCGCGCCCGGCCTTTTTTACTTATTAGAAACAATAAGCATTGTGTCTGTCATATGAGTTGTAAGTGTTACTTTTCCAGTTTGTTGTTTGTCTTTGCTTGTGGAGATTTTTGTTTTTCACGTTATCTTTTTTTAGAGATAGGGTCTTGCTCCGTTGTCCAGGCTGGCCGTTGGCAAGGCAGGAGTGCAGTGGCACAATCATAGCTCACTGAAGCCTTGAACTCCTGGCCTCAAGTGATCTTCTTGAGTAGCTAGGACTGTAGGCACTTGCCACCACATACATCTAATTAAATATCTTTTTTTTTTTGAGACTGAGTCTTCCTCTGTCACGCGTGCTGGAGTGCAGTGGTGCAATCTCGGCTCACTGCAACCTCTGCCTCCTGGGTTCAAGTGATTCTCCTGCCTCAGCCTCCTGAGTAGCTGGGACTACAGGCACCTGCCACCACAGCCAGCTACTTTTTGTATTTTTAGTAGAGATGGGGTTTTGTCATATTGTCCAGGCTGGTCTTGAACTACTGACCTTGTGATCCATCTGCCTTGGCCTCCCAAAGTGTTAGGATTACAGGCATGAGCCACCACACCCAGCCCCCAAAATTTTTTTTGTAGATGAGGTCTTGCCAAGTTGCCTAGGCTGGTCTGGAACTCCCGGGCTCAAGGGATCCTCCTGTGTTGGCCTCCCAAAGTTCTGGGATTATAGTTGTGAGCTACTATGTCCAGCCAGTGTTTAAAATTTTTATACAGTCAGTTAAGTATTTTATTTTATAGTTAATGGAGTTTGTTTATTTTTTATTTTTATTTATTTATGTATTTATTTGAGACAGAATCTTGCTCTGTCACCCAGGCTGGAGTGCAGTGGTGCAATCTCAGCTCACTGCAACTTCTGCCTCCCAGGCTCAAGTGATCCTCCCACCCCAGCCTCCTTAATAGCTGGGACTATAGATGTACACCACCAGGCTTGGCTAATTTTTGTATTTTTAGTAGAGGTGTGGTCTCACCATGTTGCCCAGGCTGGTCTTGAACTCCTCAGCACGTCATCCTCCCGCTTCTACCTCCCAAAGTGTTGGGATTACAGGCATGAGCCACCATGCCCAGCCTGCAGCCATCTCTTAATGGAACTCCTTCACCACATTTTGCCAGTTGCAGGAGGATTTAAAAAAAAGTGCTTTGAAACCTAAGGGAGGGAGAAAAGGGGATAGGAACTCACTGCATTCCAATATGTTAGTAGTGAGCTAGTTCCTGCCAGAATAGGCAGGTTCTAGAGAGTGGTTGTAGCAGAGTAATTGTGTGTTCCTAGGGCTGAGCAAGAGCCAAGAACGGAAAGGTGGAGGACTGTAACATGCAGGGCATGAGCTTGCTTCAGTCTCGGTGTTGGTCTGTCCAGTGTGACTTCCTGAGTGCTATGATGACCATTCCAGTCTCCCTTCCACCACCCATTCCTCTTCACACACTGGCCTTCTTATGGCTTCCTGACTGTACTAGACATCCTCTTTCTGCCTGAGAATTTTGTTTTCTTTCTTTCTTTTCTTTCTTCTTTTTCTTTCTCTTTTTTTTTGTTTTTTGACTGGAGTGCAGTGGTGCAATCTCCACTCACTGCAATCTCTGCTGCCTGGGTTCAAGTGATTCTCCTGCCTCAGCCTCCCAGGTAGATGGGATTACAGGCGCCTGCCACCACACCCAGCTAATTTTTGTATTTTTAGTAGAGATGGTATTTTGACCATCTTGGCCAGGCTGGACTTGAACTCCTGACCTTGTGATCCACCCGCTTCAGTCTTCCAAAGTGCTGGGATTACAAGCATGAGCCACCACATTGGCCCTTTTCTTTTTTTGTTTATTTATTTTTTCTTTTTTTTTTGGGACG